CCCGTGGCTCAAGGTCCCCCCAGCAGGCCACATCCCGGCCCCTGCACAGCTCCCATAGACCCCGCATGGCTCCCTGCCTCCCCCCCTCAGATAACCAGAATTTGTAGGTTACTGGCACACCCTAATCACTGGACGTGCTGGATAACAGGTTTTACTGTACAAAGTATACCTTCTTAGATGTTGTAAAATGATGTACTGAGCTGTAAATTAACATATTTTAGTGATCAGATTTGCACCATTGTTTCACAGCTCCCATAGACCCCGCATGGCTCCCTGCCTCCCCCCCTCAGATAACCAGAATTTGTAGGTTACTGGCACACCCTAATCACTGGACGTGCTGGATAACAGGTTTTACTGTACAAAGTATACCTTCTTAGATGTTGTAAAATGATGTACTGAGCTGTAAATTAACATATTTTAGTGATCAGATTTGCACCATTGTTTGAAGAAATATGTGAAGAAGTATCAGTGGGAAACCTGATTTAAATCAATGATTTGTTTTGGTGATTTAAATCATCTTGGTTTAAATCAATCCACCCTGATGCATAGTATCATATTCAATTATGAACTTCAGAACTGAATGCAAATTTACAGTATGATGCTATGATAAAGAAACTTAATTCTGTTTTGGGACATAGACAGAGGGATACCTCATACCACTAAAATGTCACAATGACACTTTACAAGGCATTGGCAAAATACCAGCTGGAATACTGGGCAGAGAAATTATAACATTTACAAATTATAGTTATATTCAAAAGAACAACATGATAAAGAAAATGTCATAATCCTTTAGGAGAAAAGTTTAAGGCAATCACAATTTAATTTAATGAAACCACATTTTGTGCAGGAATGGGGAGAACGTAATTTCTTTATAAAAATACTTAGGACACAACAAGCAACATGAAAAATAGCCACACTGGACACTAATGGTAAAGTAATTGTAGGTTTTGTATTTAAGATTAGCAAAGATCTTACATTCCAGTAAGATACCTTTGTTTTAGGAAAATACTACAGTGTCCCACCTATCAGTTCCACCATTGGTTCATATGTTCTGCATCCTGCCTCTGGAGTACTTAACCCAGGAATCATATTAGGGCCTTGTCTACACTAAATCTCCTACCCCCACGCTTCATCAATCTAACCTACACAATTTCAGCTACACTATTTGTGTAGCTGAAGTTGACACACCACTTTGTCTTGGGAGCTACTTTCCCATTGACTCCAGCTATTCTTCTCGTCCTGGTGGAGTACAGGAGTTGATTAGAGAACACTCAGAAATAGATTTATTGTGTCTAAACAGACGATTTAAATCAACCACCAAAGGCTTGATTGCTGCAGAGTTGATCTATGACGTATTGAAGACAAACCCTAGAAAAACTTTCTTTTTGAACATCATCTACGAAAAGATGATTGGGGTTGTGCTGTATCTTCAGTGCATGTATATGCTATGTCATTATAAGTTTCCACTTGGCATTCATATGATCTTCCCTCATATCATTTTGATCCAAGTTTGATGTGATTGCATGCTTTTGCATAATAAATAGGCTAAAACAGGTTAAATTGCCACTGCAAATAAACTTATTACAAGATAAACTTAAAAAACAACAAATGGTCTGGTAGCACCATTTGTTGTATTTTAAGTTTATCCTGTACAAACTAACTCAGCTACTCCTGAAGCTTTATTACAAGATGTTAACCATATCATCATTATTCCAGCAAAATGCAGGACAATGTAGCACTTTAAAGACTAACAAGATGGTTTATTAGATGATGATCTGAGGAAGTGGGTCTGGCCCACGAAAGCTCATCATCTAATAAACCATCTTTTAGTCTTTAAAGTGCTACATTGTCCTGCATTTTGCTGGAATAATGATGATATGGTTAACATCTTGTAATAAAGCTCATTATTCCAGGCACCATTTACACAGGGGTGGGCAAGGGGGCCTCTACAGGCTGGATCTGACCTGCAGATGCCCTGCCATTCCCCCACCCCCAGATCAATTGGGGCTTGGTGAGCGCGTGAAGTCTCCTCTTGCCCTGCAAGGGGCGTGCAGCGCTTTCTGTCTAAGGGCCACATGCCCTTGCAGGGTGGAGGCAGAGAGCCAGACACTTTGTGTGCTCCTCCCACCCCCAGGCTCTGATTGGCCTGGGGTTGGGGGCAGTTCACAAAGTCTCCTCCTTCTCTGCAAGGAGGCAGGTGCCTACAGGGGACTGCCACCTGTTCAGAACAGCTGGCAGTTCTATCTAGGCAAGGGGAAGGCAAAGACTTCACATGGTCCCCCACCCCCAGGCCAATCAAAGTCTGTGGGAGGGGAAGCACGGAAGTGTCCTGGTCCCGCCCCTTCCACAGCAGCCCAGGGACACTTAAAAAATTAGTCAAGTGGCACCCCGTCTAAAATTATTGCCCACCCCTGATTTACAATAATATCTGTTTTAAATCACAGAAGATCCTTTATTGAATGGGTAAGGATAGATTAGCTGTGGCCAACCTGCGACTCGCATGTAGCTCCTGCTCCCCAAAAATGCAGCTCACAAAGCAGCTTCTGCACCTCCCCCCCAACAGCCCCCGCTGGCTCCCCCTGACTCCTAGCTTCCCTGTGCTTACTGGGTCAGAGCTGCAAGGTTTTAAAAATGGCACCTAAGACAGTGGTCGTCTTAAAGGGGCAGCCTCCTTTCAAACAAATTAATCCCTGGAAGAGATTTATGTAAATCACTGGATGGACTACAGATATTAGTTTCTTCCCCCACCCCCTTTTCTAAGCTCACTTTTATGGCATGGGTCCAAAGCAAAAAAAATTAAGAACAAAAAACCAGTCTCCTAGGAATACTATATTGAAGTAAGGTCCAAGGAGTAACAAAGAAAATGTTCACTACCTACAAATTTATCATATTGTATGTATTTATCATATAATTTAGTATAATTTTGGGAAATACAATGAATAGGAAAGGAGGTAAATAAAACTAAGGTCTAACATATTTCTTACTCCTAAGGATTGCCTCTTCCTGGGTTTAATACTAGCAAATTGAACATGTAAATACTTTTCTGGTATTGGATACAATTCAAACAGCAGTGACTCATCTGACTCCCTCCTTCAGCCTTAAGGCTGCATTAATGACTCTATCCAGCTCTATAAAACTTTCTTAAGGTTGAAGGTTATTCGTTTGTTGTGTTCCAAGGACAGGATTTGACCCAGAGTAATGAAAAGGATTTATGAAGATTATGAACCTTACATCCCACAACTTAATTAAAATAAACAAAACATTTGAGTTAGAGTTCATAATTTATAGTGAAAATCCTTTTAAGATTTTAGCCAAAAATTAAAGAGACATTATACTTCCCTCTCTAATTCCCGAGGACTGATAGCTACAATAATACTGCATAAAACAGAGTGACTTGACCTGGATGGGCTGCTATATTCCACACCCTAATGACATGAAAAGCAAAGCACTGGGTACTTTACAACCCACTCTATTAGCCTCATTTAGCATGGACATGCTAATTGACAATATTTTTTTCTTATTTTTTCCCTTGTCTTTTCCTCCCCATTCCCTCTCTTTCGCTGCTATTTATTTGTACCCTGAACTCCTTACTCCATTCATCTGAAGAAGTGGATTGTGGTGCATACCACCATCTACATTTTTGTTAGTCTCTAAAGTGCTGCAGAACTATTTGTTGTTGTTTAAGTTTTTTCAGTTATAGACAAATATAGCTGCCCTACGGAGGCATAAAATAAATGTCAGTTTTCAGTCTGCAGCAAAATTTTATAACAAAGTTATATAGTTTGGAGAAGTAGAGTAAAATGGCACGGAAGAAAACGTATAACAGTACTCTGCCAGGCATCACTAGGAAAAGAGAAATAAAAGCAATAGTGCCCTGCCAAGACTTGCGGTTTTTCCTTCTGTAGTTTAAGCAATATGGGCGTTGTTATGGTTCCTAGCCACTGCTTTCAGTATGGGTGTGGGGAAAACACATCATTTATGGCACTCATGCATAAAATCTCAATGACTCCATTTTAAAAAGCTCTATTTGGAGACATTTAGCCTTAAACATACTGTAATACTCTATACCAACTATTCAACAGATCAGATTTTCATTGTCCTAATTTTTAAAGAGGTCTTTTTCTGTATGTAAAGAATCGTCAGCTATTAATCAGCTACTGCCCTCACTTCTAAACATCTTTTCCATCTTAATGTACTGTTAAAGTAAAAAGTTGTGAAATTTAAAAATCTTTTATGGCAGAAAAGATAAGAATTAATTTAATATAGGACTCTGCACAAAGATTCACTCTATGCAATTTGTGACTTCCATCAGATTCAGCTGCTGAGCAAAATTTCACTTCTGCTTTTAACACAATTTGAATTTCACAATTTACAGAGGCATAAAGGAAATTATATGCTCTTGGAATTATCAACTCCTTGGTTGTAACTTGAGATGTGAAAGATTAACTAACAAGCATCACTCTTAATGGTGATAGAGATGTAGCCTACATCCCCCTTCTGTTCTGAAATGTGATTTGTCCTTTTCATGTGTGTTCATTTTTTTTAAATTGTATCCTTTGGTATATATGGTTGTGACTATTTTCTTCCATTATTTGATCTGAGGAAGTGGGTCTGGCCCACGAAAGCTCATCATCTAATAAACCATCTTGTTAGTCTTTAAAGTGCTACATAGTCCTGTATTTTGTTTCACTCTTAATGGGTGATGCTTACCAGTTCTGATTAACTAGGGAGGGGAGGGAGCAACTCCTCGACCACCAGTCAGGGATCTACTCCAGCCTCCCATTAATTGGTTAACTAATTAACCAATTAAATGGGATTTTACACCCCTAGTCATAATGTATACTGTCCTGGTTGCAAGTT